ACCCACCGACTGCTAAACGCTCAATCTATGCCTCACCCCTCACTCTCTCTCCTCCCTTCTCCACCTTCTCTAACTCCACCCACCAAAACGACGTACGCTCTCCGTCGGTCTTCGATTCAATAGTGACCACGCCCATTGTGTCACGCCCAGTCCCCTCCTACTACGAAAATGTGCCAACTCAGCAATATTGTCTAGACAGCGTTACAAAAAGAGTCAATTTATCGGAGAATATGATATCCTTAAATTCACCTCTGTCTCAAGATTCGAGTGCTTTTCTACCATTTAAATGCGATGATGGCCTTGACCACGCCCAGCACATTCCTCATAACCACGCCCACCATATTTCCCGTGGCCACGCCCAGAATTCTAGTCACAATAGCCCTGCCCCTAATGATAAAGAGGCTGGAAAGGGTTACGATGGGATCGGTGCTAGTTTTCATCCAGTGACTACAATATCCTGATTATTATTATTATTATTATTATTATTATTATTATTATTATTATTATTATTATTACTATTACTATTACTATTACAGGTAATCTATTCAGCTTTCTCTCTCCCTCCCTCTCCCTCTCTCTCTCCCTACCCCATATATTATGTTTGTCATTCTATTATTGTATGTTATTCACACTGTACATTATATATTTCATAAGTCTCTCTCCCTCTCTCTCTCCTCATGTTTTGTTTCTTCTATAAGATTGTGTATACTAATGTACATGATGTACTACATGTGTATGTGTATGTACATGTATGCAATTCACTTCTCTCTCTCTTTTCTAATAATACATACTCTCACTTACTGTATCTCAACCACATTTATTCCATATTATTATTATTATTATTATTATTATTATTTATTCATTCGTCCCGTATTTTATTGTTACTACTGATAATTATTCTGATTTTGTTTAAAACAGTAATTATTTTCATCCTATTGCTACACACATTATGAACATTCAATTTCAATTTATTGTTGTTACTTCGTATTTCTTCTGGTGTCATGTTGTTTATTCATAATAGAAACTGATGATATTACTATTCTCTCCCAAGTCTATAGACTTTGTGATTGTTTGCATATGCAATTAATAACATCAAACAGTTTGTGGTAAGAAACCGTGAAAGTCCACATAGATAATGGTGGAAATTAGCGATTTTATGCCCACAGGGATGGGAGCTAGTTTTCATCCAGTGACTACAATAAGTCTCTCTGCCTCCTTGTAATCTTTTGTTTATTCTATAATATTGTGCTATTGTACGGTACACAATGCATTTCTCTCTCCTAATACAAATGTACATGTACTCTCACTTATCTCAACCACATTTATTCCATAATTATTATTATTATTTATTCATCTGTTCCGTATTTTATTGTTACTAATGATAATATTTATTCTGATTTTGTTTAAAACAATTATTATTTTCTCTTAATTTTTCATCCTATAGCTCATACTTATCTTCAATTTATTGTTGTTGTTATTACTTTCTTCCATGTCGTGTTAATTTATAGCAAAAATGGTTTTGAACAATGAGCTGTTTTCTATGTAATTTGGATAATTTTTGCACCAGCCTCCATTTATTTACTGCAGTAGCTCATCAAACCTAAACCATCCTGTTTATTTTCACAATGAATAATCATTATTCATAGCAGGTTGCATAGGCATACCGGTAGTTTCATTTCCGGGATTTTCCGCCCACCTTAGAGGTCTCATTTTTAAAATCTAGCTTAGCTCTAGTATAGATACTAGACGTGGCTCTAGCCTCTAGTTTCGCTCTGAAGCTCTCATATAATGTCCCGGTCTTTCAGTTTAAGTAAGTTGTTCAGTTATAATTGAGCACGTCATCAAATTCTTGTGCTTTTCAGGTATTAAAGATCTGCATCAGCTCACAGGCACACTGAGTGACGTTTACTTTGATAAGACTAAATGGTTTGACCTTGGATTATCGCTTCATCTACCTGAAACGGAGCTTAAAGCTATAAAAGATGATTGTAGTAGCGATTCTCATAAATGTCTACGTGAATGTCTGTGCTTGTGGTTGAAGTCAGCTGGAAGCCCTCAGGCTCAGGTTCTTGCAAATGCTCTTGATGATATTTCAATAAAACCCGCTGCTGAAAGAATTAATAAAATATGTAAGCATCATAGTCAAAACCCCAAACTAATGATATAGATCTATCTAGCGCATAGGTGAATACTGGTATTAGTTACTGCATATGCTCATTTTGTGGCCAATCAATATTAATCTTTAAGGTCAAAATCTCAAAACAACTTATTAGATATTGTTGTTACTATTCAAGAGGATTATGTGATGGGCGTGTGCTTATTAGTAATG